CCCCCCCCCGCACCTGAACGCAGGTGTTTTTTCGTTGGTAGATCTCAATGAGCTCGTCATTTGAAAAGTAGATCTCCAGACGAAAAAAAGTGGGCGCCCCTGGACTAAATCATAGGACGGGATAGGGATCTACAGCGTTACCCCGGAATAATAACACTAAAAGGAAAATCCCAACATTCCACTTCCGGCTGATAATGACGGAGCCGATACCGAGAGCCACTCGCACTTAACTGTACAGAAGTTGTACGAATGAAGCCTGGTACACACTATACTGCCAGAAGTATTGGGACACCTTTACACGCACACGAACTCTAATGGCGTCCCAGTCTTAGACCGGAGGGGTCAGTATAAAAAAAATTGTTTTTTTTTTATTGCTTTTATATGTGACTTTTACATTTTTATTTTTTTTGGAACATTATTTTTTTTTTCACTTAACTTTATTGCTATCACATAGGGGGATAACAAGCCCCCTATGTGATAGGCAATTTGCAGTGACAGGTCCTCTTCATGGAGACATCAGGGGTCTTTAAGACCCTCCGTCCCTTCCATCCGTCCCCTCCCTCAGGTCCCCTCCGAGTCTCCCTTCTGTGTACTGGAAAACGCTGCGCCTCCATGTCATACAGCGAGGCTAAGCGGTACAGTCCGGTGGAATGGCGTTGCTTTTCAGATAACAAAATTACAGATATTTCTATTATATTAATTTGGCTAATTAGCAGTTTTTTGGGGGATAACTCAAAAAAGGTACAAAAAACAACAACAAAACACTAACTTGTGATAGAACATGCGCGCCATTCCTACTCGCTGCTTCTCACCCCCGGAGAGAACATCCTTCCAGTCACTCACTGACGCCCAACCTGGAAATAAACAGAAAGATAGTCAGGAGAGAACCCCCATAGCTTCCAATACTCAGTATACTCGGACTAAGACTGGGATGCCATTAGAGGGCGGAGCCAACCCAATACTGAACCCTACGGACTAAGACTGGGGGGCCATTAAAGGGCGGAGCCAACCCAATACTGAACCCTACGGACTAAGACTGGGGGGCCATTAGAGTTCATGTGCGTGTAAAGGCGTCCCAATACTTGTGGTAACATAGTGTACATTTGCAAACATGCAGTAAAGCAAGCCCAGCATCAAGAGCAATGATTTCTGAAGGTCAACAGCTGGGTATAGACCGATGGTAATCGTCACTCGGGGAGGATGCGCCATGCAGAGTCACAAGTGATTCGTTGGACCCTCTGGGTGTCCTATCTGTACCATCAGTCAGTACTCAGCCGGTGGCCATGACAGGTGAGAGAGCGGCTTGAGAAGTCCTGACCCCGGATGCTGCGCTTGCTCCACTACACTTTGGAAGTTTATACCGGTTACTGCTCAAGTAGATGAAACCACTAAACAGGATCGCTCAGAGTATAGCTCGGCGAACGCATTTCGCACGTTACTGCCGCTAGAAGGAGCGTAGGAATTTGCTACTCGCCTCGGTCGCATCTATTAGCAGTAATGGCCGCACACCGATGAAGCCCAGCTATATGGTGGACGTACCCTTTAAGACTCGGCCCCCTAACTGAATGACAAGCGCAGGGAATCATTAAAGTGACATGAAACCCTCAGATTGTGTAACATAAAACAATAGTGTAATGTGCACCGCACTGTACTCCATGGTGGTCTCCCTTCTCTTTGCTGCTCTTCCTTTTAAATCCTCATGTCTTCTCATGCTGGGGGAGAACTTCCCTTTGCAGCAGACTGCCTTGTCTCCGGAATGGATACATGGTGTCTGTGTATACGTTTGTATAGGCTTGTAACCTGAGCCAGCACTACAGGAAGAGGCCCTGAGCTGCAAAGGGAAGTTCTCCCCCAGCATGAGAAGACATGAGGATTTAAAAGGAAGAGCAGCAAAGAGAAGGGAAACTACCATGGATTACAGTGCGGCGCACATTACAGTATTGTTATATGTTAAAAAATCTGAGGGTTTCATGTCACTTTAACAATGGCTATTTCTGATCCTTTGCTATATCTCGGTGCAGCTGATCTCCTGCAGCCTTTCTGCTGCCACTTCCTGTCTACACGCACTTCGGTGGCATTTCTTACGGTGACAACGATGGACCGGATCTGTGTAATGTGTGCGGAAAGGGGCACTCGCAGTCTTCTCCGTCATGTGACGACATAGGAGCACAACCTGGATCCGCGGACGGAGCTTTGTCACCCCTTTACAGGAAGTGCCTGAACAATGGCGGGACCACCAAGGTATCGTTTTATGAAAGCTCCAAATGTAACAGTTTCTAATAAGACTTAATAAGTATATAAATATATAAAGTTCAATAAACATTCGGGATTAGGTTTACGTGTACGGGCGATGGCGGCCTGTGCCGTCCTGGTACATAATCCGGCACTAGTCATGCTGGGTACGAGACCATGAGCACCAGCGCTGTTCTCTCCTGATGTGGATGTACTAAGAAGATTGGATCCCTTATATAAGAACAAGGCTGGAATATGGACGGGCTGCCGGGGTTAAGAAGATGATAGCGGTATTCAAGGCTAGATTAGAAAGGATCGTGTATAATCCCCGCCATGGTCACGTGGGGACGGTAAAGCTCCGTGATCCGAACACGGGTTATGTGCAAACGTGTTCCCGCTGATCGGCCAGAAACGCACTCGGATTCTAATGTCTGCTTGTAGGCTGCGCAGCACTATTGTGGAGAGATTGGTGTCAGCCCTGCCCAGCCGTTTACTGCTAAGCTACAGCAAACTTCCCCCCCCCCTTCCGCATCACAACAAAGACACTCATTCTTCTATAGGACAACAACCGGGAGGGCTCATTGGACTCCTTGAGAAAACACAGGACGGCTCTGTATATCTGCCAGATCAACAAGAACACTACAACGTATGGTAGTGCAAGGTATGGACATACATTGAGGTGCGGTGCAATACATGTCCATTGACACGGTGCGTCGGGTGATCTCATTAAAGGAGAACTATGAGGGGGGGGGCTTGTCACTCACCTCATAGTTCTAGCCGACCTGTGACAATGAGACTGTCACAGGTCGGCTCAGTAGATCGGGAGGTGAGAGAACACATACCGGCGCTCGCTCCCCTCTCGATCCTGTCACTGCTCTCTGCCATGACAGTGGAGGGGCTGGATTCCCCCCTCCCCGCTCCGATCCGCCAGCGCTGACTGGAGGAACGGACGGGGGAGGGGCGGGTACAGCTGACACTGCCTCTAGATAGGAGGAGCCGGCTGTCACTCACGCAGCTGGGCGGAGCTCGGCATCGATGTCGGGATCCGCTCCGGCGTCTCAGTATCCCGCGAGCTGTAGCTCCCTATATACTGAGCTTAGGGTGACGGGAGGACGCTAGTTTGTGTCCTCCTCCGACCCTGAGGAGAACTATGGGGAAAAGACTTAACCCCGTACTTCTCCTTTAAGGATGAAAACTAAACTCTGAGTGCAAAAAAAAACTCACTCCCCATGTTATTGCTCCAGTTCCCACAGACTCTGCTCTAAGGAGCTCTGGAGACAATGGACCAGCAGCACTGTCATGAGCATGCCAAGGGATTGCCCTTTACCCAGAGCATAGGAGAGTGTCAACTGCCAGGGGAGCAAGGGGTAAGGTATTTAAAAGTCCCTTTCCTGGTACCCCCAGGCAGTGGCGTCACGCGGGGGGTGCGGCCCGCACCCGGGTGACACCATTGGAGGGGTGACACCAAAATGACTCAGTCATTTTGGTGTCACCCCCCTCTGAAAAGTCGGGC